TTTTGTGAGGGAGGCAATAAGCTCATTAAAGGATATGAAGTGGAATCATAACAAGGTGGAATCAAACTCCATGAGACTTGTTGAGGTGGCTCGAATATAATGAGGCACCTTTGGACGACTAATTGTTGAAGATATCAGAGATCATGCTACTAGTTTTGCTAGCATTACTTTCTCTCAAGTGAGAGTGTGAGACAATCACCGAACCATGTTACCCATAGCCTAACTAGGGTGGCTGTTTCGATGCCTGGTTGTTGTATTTGGAGTGACTTCCCCCGAGTAGTATAATGTGGTACTTGTACTATGATCTTATTTATAAATAATGTATTTTCTTTTCGCAAAAAAAAGTTATAAAATATAAGTATTTTTGAAGTTTTTGAAGTTATAAATATTGCGAGCCCCCCCGAAAATATTACAAAAATAAAACCTATTTACACAAATTTGACTACTAGTTACTACTACCTCCATCCTTTTTATATTGGTACGGAGGAGGGTGACACGATTATTAAGAAAAAGTGGTTTGTGTGGTTGATATTAATTGATAAAGTAAGAATAAAGTAAGAATGATTTAGAACCACACAAACTTTACCAAATCTGGTATGAGACAATATTAGTGCGACTTCCCAAAAATGTAAAACGGGACAATATAAGGGGGACGGAGGGAGTACAATTTAGTGTCATGATAATTTAAGATTAAAAATTGAAAATAAGTTATTATGATTTCATTACTACTCTAATCACTTGTCACATTTTTGTAAACAATATTTATTTTAGTCATAATAATGCAATTATTTCTATTTATAAAATAAAAAATTGTTTAGATAAAAAGGACCTCTTAAGTGTAGTGATTACTTAGGGCCGGGCCTATCGGTTTTCAGTTCGGTTTTATTAGTTTTGAACGGTTTGGAACGGATGAGAAGAATTATTAACAAAGAAAAACCATACTATCTTTCGGTTCGGTTTGGTTCAATTTAGTTCGGTTCTATTTGGATTTGTTATTTTTTAATAATATATGAAAGTTTTATTGAATTTCTTTAGTTCGGTTCGGTTTTATTTGTTTTCTTTTTTTAAATTTCCATTCAGTTTAGTTTAATACGGTTTGGAAGAATTACTACCAAACTCAAACCAAATTACATATAGTTCAATTTTGGTTCGGTTTGGTGTGGTTCGGTTCGATTTAGTTTGGTTTGATACGGTTCGGTTACGTTAAACCGAACCACTTTCCCATCCCTAATTAATGAGTGACTATGACATTATACTACTGTAGTTTTGGTCATGTTTTTTAAAACAAGCTCCATTTCACTAATATATCTGGAGGGAAATAACTCTTGTAATAATTGTTCAGTTTAAAGTATGCTTCCATATTTATTCCTAGATGTTTACTTTTTGAACAACTTAAAAGAACTAGAAGTTCTTTTCGCATGATTTTAATGTTTCTGATCTGAATTTTTTAAAACGTGGTTTGATCTGATTTAAGTTTTTTCTAATATAAATTGGATGTTAAGTTTTCTGATTTGATCTTAATCTTTGTGACTTGATCTTTATCTTTATGAGCCTGATTTGAATTTTTTTGATCTGATTTGAATCTTTCTGATATGAATTTTTCTGATATATTCTGATTTGATTTGAGTTTTTCTAATCCGAATATTTCTGACGTGAGTATTTCAAATTACTAGTTTTCCTCTGATGAAATCTTTACTAGGTTAAGAGTTGTTACAAATGGTTTTGTGGCGAGTTTAGTGGAGATGGATGGACCGAGCGGATAGTGATGTGGAACGAGGCGGGGTCTTGATTAGCGTATTAGGGACTCGGCAGGCTACTTTATAACTTAGGGAGGCTTTAGCTTGGGTTGGGGTGTATAATTAAACCCACTTCAGGCTATCTCCAAAATCCAAAAACGAGATGGCAAAACTTCTTTTTGCTTATTGGCGGGTGATATTAACGACATGAAAACTGTTTTTACATATCACTAGAATTTCACCCGTGCGATGCACGGGAAAAAAAATTATATGGAGAAGGCCGCCCCATGTTTATCTGGAGAAATTATATGGATAACAGGAGAAGACTCGATATGAAATTTTTTGAGAAGACCGCACCATGAATAATTTCACCCGTGCGATGCACGGTATAAAAGTTTACCCATCTTTCGAGACAAATGGAAAAGTACTTATGCATTGTTTGAAAAATTAGATTTGAAAAGTTATAAGTTATAGAACACATAAATTGTTAAAGAAAAATAGTTATCCAAGTAAGATGGGATGGTACAAAAGCTATATTATTTGTAACATAAAATAAAAGATCAAAATAAATGTTAGGAGTTATCGGAAAGTGAGGTCAGTTGTATGTGGCACTCATGATACTTTTATAATTTTATTGGAAATGAAATTTTTAGATTTGAAGACTTTAATGGTTATTAAGATTTTATTTGGTCTAAATTGATTTGCTTAATTTTTGTATGAATTGAAAATTATCTACAATAAATTTGAGCATAATATTTAAACGTGAAATAGTAGGATCAATTATTTGTGTAGAAAAAATAAAAGAGAAGATAAAAAAGTATTAAAGAGAAGATAAAAAGTAATAAAAGTAAGCATAATTACTTTTAGAGGAAAAACTTACCAAAAAATGTAGCAAAGTTTTAAACATATTAAAAAAAAAGTATAGTAAACTTAAAAATAGGGAGACTTTATAAAAAGTGTTACCATTTCGGGTTGAAAAAGGAAATACATTGGGTCAAACAAAATGGAAGTGTTTAATGCCCACTAATAAATTAAACAGTGTTTAACACTGTTTTCGGCTTATCATGCTTATCAGCCAACTTTTTCACCAAACACGTAATTTTTGCTTTTGCAGACTGAATTGTATAAAAAGCAGAAAAAGTAAGGTTGTAATTACTTTTCTGGCTGTATTGGCTGAAGTTACTGTAGATGACTATTTTAACTAATTTTACATATATTTTTTCTTTATTTTATAAATAAAATATATTTTTAAAAGATTTTTTTTCTTAAATTATCATAATCAGCCAATGCAGTCACTTCGACTATAAATTCATAAATTTCAGCAGAATCAGTCAAAACAGCCGATTTTGATGCTACCAACCGGACTCTATATTGATAGCTTTCATGTTTAGGTCACTTTGCATCCGTGCTAGCTGACATCTATGGAGAAGACCATTCTCGAGCTAATTTATGTATACCTATGGTGTAGGTACATGTAGCCAATTTTGGACACCTCTATCCTTTCGATTATTCTAGTCAACAAAAAATAAAATACATGCATAGAATAAGGCTCTTGCAATCACTTAATTTAAGTGATTGTGGTTTTTAAAAAAAAAACACAAATTTTTTACCAAACATTACTAACTTTTACTTTCTCGACTTCTGTGTAGAATCTACTTTTTACTTTTTCTATTACACAAAAAGTACTTATTTTACCAAACACTATCAACTTTTACTACTAACCACTTTTTCCCAAAAAGTGCTTTTATTTAAGCACAATTACTTGCAAACAAAGCCTAAGTTTTTTTTTCAATTCAATCAAGGCCCATCCTTGGGCAGTCCAGCAAAAATTAATCATGCATGGCTGCATGCTCCAGCAGCTATCACCAAGAGTCTACCACTCCAGCCCAATAATTCAACCTCGCCCGAGCAGACTACGACAAGCCAAGTTTCCGGGTCAGCCCAGTTGCTCCAGCCCAGGATCTGATCCAAGTTTGCACTGCAGAAAGAAGCAACAAATTTGAATCCCTACCAGTATGACGATAGGATAGAGAAAAGCGACCCAATCGCAGACACGTTGTCAGAGCTGACGAAATCCCCGTAAATTCCAGAAAAAGCTACGCCTGCTCGTAGCATACATCCAACCATGCCCCCACCCCGCCATGTCCCGACGAACATCCTAGCGGCAACGGTGGAGAAGATCGAGCAAAACCCAGCCGGCAAAGGAACCCCTGTCAAGCCCCGTCAGAAACGGCATACGGCGTTGATAGGAAGCCTGGCCGGAGACGGAAGAAGAAACAGTCCCAAGCCTTCTACCACAACCCATCCAAACACCACCCAGCAGCTTGTGATTTCCGGCAGTGGCAACCGGCGAAGCCCCTGGGAGCACGCTGTGCTACATGATTCTCAAAATAAGTGAATAGAGCCATAATAAAATAGGAGGATTTACCTTCATTAAAATTTCAAACCCAGCAAGCCAAAAGTAGCTGTAGTTGGCCAGATGTGGTAGCACGGCGCATAACTCAGACCTCCTTCAATTGGTTGAAGGTCTGACCCCGGCATTGATACATACCACCTCTGCGAACTTCAACATGTTACGGGAAGATGCAGCTCCATGCCTCCATGTCATATGCTCTCTCAGCCGCGCGTGCAGTCATCTCTGCCGCCTTCCGGTTTATCACGGCCGCCCGTCTCTTGCCTTTCCCAGCCCCTCGTATATATGTATGCGCACAGTGAGATTCTGAGATTTGAATGTATGGATTTTGGATTAGGACATGCCGACTCTTGGCTATATGTTCCGTTTTTTTAAAGACCATGGAAAAGTAAATATCAATAAGTAAAGACTCTGATCTGACACCTCACTTTAATGAATGACTGATCAATAACCTCGGTTAACGTTCGTTTGCTTTGAATAACTCAGCACGTTACTGACCCTGTCAAAGGAGATTCCCATTTATCGTCTTCAATATTGGTGATCATTTAATGAGGTGTACCTTTACATCAGTGAGTCTTCAGATCCGTTAGTGCTGACCCGACCCGCAACTACACTACCTGGTACTTTGGGCGGGAATTTTGGCTGAAAATCCACTTCTTTTTATATATAGATAGATGTTGTTCATGATCTTATTAGAGCATTATGTTCTTTGTCTCATTGAATTGTCTTGTTTGGCTTTATTCTCCTCATGTATGTATTACTTCACTATAAATTTAGAGTATTACATTTGTCTTGTTTGGCTTTGATCTCTCAAACAAACTCTATTTTACCTATTTGTAATAACTCTTCACTTTTAATAGCCTTGTCTCTTATTTGTTTGGTCGATGTTTATACATTTGATACAAAAAATATATTTGTGACATTTCTTTTGAATACATCTAATCACTTGCTCATTTATTCAAATGAAGAGATTCATATACAACATTGTTAATAGATTTATAAAAAGTATACAAATCTTATTATGTGTGAACAAAAAATGTGAATTCAATTTGTGCCGATCATCACATTATGCACCACAACTGATGCAACAATTGCAGCCTTAATGGTTACAATCGAAATGGCCATTTAGAACAATGGACAATACTCAATATACATTGTTCCAATTCCTTTACATCATCGTGCAGCCTGCAGGTTCATAATCATGAACCGGACGATTCCAGTAATATGGTGGTGGTGGATAAAAAGGAGGATAAGTGATTGTCACGCCTTGGGGTTGTGGTGTTTCATTCTTCTTCGTCTCAACCGCCTTTTCAACCTTCTTCTCAACAACTTCAGCCAGAGTCAGAATATCCGCTTGGCCTAGTTTCTTCCGGAGCTCCGTTACCAACACCACCGCATCGAACTCCCCGACCACCTCTATTTGCCCCTTCTCTTGCTGGATAGACGCCGCCACGACTCCTAATTAAATGTAACAATTTGTATATTTAGAAACATGGGTGAAACATGGGTAAATATAATATGTAGTGATAGTTTTAAGAGTTTAGAGCACGGCCATTTGATACTTTGATAGCGATGAATTTAGTAGAAGTGTTCGAATGGTACCTTAATCATGTGGTAAGATTTACTTACATATGCAATAAAATATTTCATTTATGAAATAAGAAATCATATGATAAATTTAGAGCAAAGGGTTAGTTTGGTTCTCGAAGTTGCATAAAAGGGGTCACATAAGTCCTTATATAGAAGATTATGTCCGGACATGTCATTTGAGGCAGTTCCCGGTGGAATTTTTTGATAAAAGTTTTTGAGCATCTTATTCATTAAGTCTAGTTTATTCATACCAAATTTCAGCTAAAAATTCAACCGAGAAGGCATTCAAATGAATTCTTGAAGATAACTGCTCTTTTAACTGCACGGTTATCTTCAAGAATTCATTTGAATGTCTTTCCGATTGAATTTTTATCTGAAATTTGGTACGAGTGAACTAGACTTAATAAATTCCGACGGCCGGATAGAACCTCTTATATAAGGAGGTATTTGACCCCCTTTTATGCAACTTCAAGGACCAAACTGACTCTTTACTCGATAAATTTATATCGTGATTTACCATATTTGGGCATTTTCGTAGACATTTTATACAAATTGGCTATGGCACGGATAATTTGCACAATTTTTTCAAATTTCTACATCTTTTTGAACAATGGTCTATGACATAGATAAAATATAGGTCACAGACAAAATGTAGGAGCTTTGTACAAAAAGCGTGTACACGGCATTTTATTTAATTATTTACAATTCAGTGAGTGAAAATAATCATTGTTTAATAAAATATCCAATAAGACTATCCGAATGTGAGTATTTAATGTTCTTTGGGGAGTATATATTCAAATTATTACTGTAAAACTGTTGGTTCTTAGTTCTTACCAGGCTGTCGAACGGCAATCTTGAAGGCAGAGGAGCGAGCCTTCTCATCCTTCATACTGATTCTAATCACTGCCTTTTGCTGCGAAGTAAGTGAAAAAGGGAGCCATCAATTCAAGTATTCAACCGATTGAAAAACACTAATAGGAGGCACTTATATAGAAAAACCCAGGAATTGTTATTTCCTGCGTAATTTTTTCCTTTTTTTCCAAAAAATAGAGTTTTGACATGGTATTATTGCGCAATAAAAAAGTCAAACGGGTTTTGAAAAAGACTGGAAATTTTCTAGTGTAATCTAATCTGTTTAAATGTGACTCATTTTGAAATAGTCTGGTCTGATAGATGTATAATCTATGCGTATTTTATAACGATCGAAGTCTGGTCGTATGTGGTCTAATCTGTTTAAGTTTGATTTAGTTTGGTCTACTCGATCACTTCTAGTTTGTGACTGAAATCGGTCCAAAGAAAAGTATTCTTAAAACAAAAATGAATTGAGAGTATTTAGAGTAATTTGTAGTGTGCTTGAACATATAAATATGAGAGATTTTACATACCTTCCCCATTGTATTGTGTTTTTCAGGCAGATAGAAGATTTATTCTTTTGAATATATGAAGGTAGACAGAAGATATGATAAGCAGTGTTTGGTTGGCTATATATAGGAACTAACGGGAGCTGCCTTCTTTTTCATTGGAAAACTCGGAGAATGCGCGTTGGACTCACCGAGAGAGTTAATAATTTCAAGACTGCGTCAACAACAAATTATTGAGGCGGCTAACTAAGTAACTAGAAGCTTATGTGTAGTGCTTTTTCTTAGGGTATGTTTGGCACAATCAGCTGAAAAGATACTTTTGTGAGCTTTTTAGTAATTGTTAGCTTTTAGTGACTGAAAAGATCTTAAAAAGAAAAGGTGATAGCTGTTTGGTAAAAAGCTGACTGTTTGATTTAGTTCGGTTTGGAATACAAGCTGTTAGGACTAATTAATACTAAAAGTCACGAGCTTTTCTCAGATGCTACACCCGGTAGCATCTCAAAAAAGATCTTTTAATTTTTCAAAAGCTCTTAAAAAATGTCATGCCAAACATACAACTAGAGTCTTTTAAGGTCTTTTTAAAGAAAAGAGAAGCTAGAAGACAAAGGCTTTTGTGTGCCAAACATGGCCATAAGCTAATGTGTGTGATATTCCTAAGTAGTTTGCGAAATATAAATACTCAATCTGTTATTAAATTTATGTTCCATTAACCGCATTTAACCCCTGGTCCATATGTACTGACCTATTTCATTAATGTAACTTTAGTTCCAACACTTTTGGCTTTTGCTAACCGAGATTGAATAGAAGAAATATAGAACAACTGTTCTGAATCACAAAAGACATTAAAATTCATACCTTTAGAGAAAGACAAAAACTCACACGATTATTCTCTTCGGTAGAATTGATGAAGGGCTTATGCTTTGGATTGCTTGGTCCGCTTACCTTCACCGGCTTCACGCTTGGAGACGCCGAGTCGGTCGAGTATTATTGCTCCCCGTAGGCCACAGATTAACTAATGAATTAATAGTATTAGTACTCCCTCCGTCCCAAAAACAATTTCACATTTTGACATTCACACAGATTAAGAAAGTAAATTTGATTTTATTGTGAAGTGCACTGTTTTGCACTGTTTAAACACTGTTTGACGCTGTTTGGACATTGTTTAACACTGTTTTGATGTTGATAATTTGCCAAATAAGGAAAGTATTGAAGTGTGAAGTTAATTTTGGGACATCCATTTAAGGAAAGTGAGAAGTTGTTTTTGGGACGGAGGGAGTATAATAATAGACTAATACTAATACTAATAAAAATAAAAATGAAAATTTGAGGCCCCCTTTGGAAGTGAGGCCCAAGGCATTTGTCTCGCCCAACTCCCAACAGAGACGCCACTGATCTCAGGCATCGAGTGTAAGCTCAAAGAAGGACCAAATTACCAAATTGGTAATAAAAAAAGGACTGTTGGACAGATTGGTAAAAAAAACCAATTGAGACAAATTGGTAAAAAAACCAAGTGACAAATTGGTCAATTTTTTTAGAGTGACAAACTTTTGATCCCCGGCTTTAGAATTCCCGACATTTCATATTATAAGTATTGTGAAATTGACATTTGTCGTCCTTTTACTTTGATTTTGTCATCAAAAGTGGAGGTCTAAAATTGTCAACGACTGTGTTTGATAATAACGCTTGTTTGCTAGCTCATAGCCGGTTGTATCAGTAGATTGATATTAGCGGATTCCGTTAGTTTTTTTTAACTAACCGCTTTCATTAGCGTTTTGAAATACAATGTAAATAACATAAAATATGCAATTAGCTTTTCAAACGTAAAATGACCGTTAAAAATGAATTTAAGAGTTTATATATTTAAATAAATTTTATTTCTTTTTATTTTTAATAAGTCCTGGAAAAAGTTAAAAAATATGTTTACGTTTATTTTAAATACGGAGTAATTAATAACTCTATCATTTTTAAGATACTCCCTCCGTCCCGAAAACAACTTCCCGGTTGGACTTTCACACACTTTTAGGAAATAAATTTGACTTTACTGTAGAATGCACTGTTTTGCACTGTTTAAACACTGTTTGGCACTGTTTAAACACTGTTTGGCACTGTTTAAACACTGTTTGGCAATGTTTATCACTTTTTTGATGTAGATAATTTGCCAGATAAGGAAAGTATTGAAGTGTGAAGTTAATTTTGGGACATCAATTTAAGGAAAGTGGGAAGTTGTTTTCGGGACGGAGGGAGTATGTACATTGATGCAAGTACACACATATAAATTCATATGTTTTTAATATTAGTATTTTAAATATGGCTATTTATTAGTTTTTTTTAAATTACTCCATTTAAAAAATCTACTCCATATGACTATTTATTAATTTTTTTAAAAATCTACTCCATGGTTATTTTAAACAAATGTAAATATAATTTTTAAAAAATTTTGAAAGACTTAATAAAAATAAAATAAATAAAGTTAAGATAAATATATATATATATACACACACTTTTGAATCCATATTTTTAATGGTTATTTTACGTCTTAAGATTTAATCGCAAATAGTTAAGTTACTAATATTTTATTTCAAATGCTAAAGAAAGCGGTTAGTTATAAAAGCTAATGGAATCCACTATTATCAATATGTTGATTCAACCGACTATAAGCTAGCGGACAACCACTATTATCTAACACGGTCGTTGACATTTTTAGACTTTCACCTTTGATGACAGAATCAATGTAAAATGATTGTAAATGTCAATTTCACAATACTTATAATATGAAATGTCGGGAATTCTAAAGTCGGGGATCAAAAGTTTGTCACTCTAAAAAAATTGACAAATTTGTCACTAGGACTTCTTTTTTTACCAATTTGTCTCAATTGATTTTTTTTTTACAAATCTGTCCAACAGCCCTCTCTTTTTTCACCAATTTGGTAATTTGGCCCTCAAAGAAGCTACTCAAACACTACGAAATAGTAATTTGAAAAGTGATATCATATATACTTATGGGGTGATAGTTTGAGATCATACCAACGCAGTGTAAATTGTGTTTCCATAATATCTGCTTGTAACAGAATTTTCCTCGTACTAAACTATATATATACTTGAATAATTTAATTAAACATGTGTTGCATTAAGTTTAAGATTTTTGAATAAATGACCAATTCAAGGTCAACCCAGGTTTAAACCAAATGTCGTATAAGACATCCAGTATATAAATACTTCTTAGATAAGAAAATGGCAAGACCGTCTATTCTCTCAATATTTTAAAAAATGGATCCATGAGAGTTAAGTGTACTTGAAGTTTCACAATGTGGATTAATATTAAATTTGGTCTCAAGATATGCTCTCTTGAAATGTCTACATGTAATGAGTAGAATAAGGATGTTTCCTTTTGGACTGAAATTTGCTGGTCTGGTCTGGTCTGATCTGGTCTGGTCTGGTAAACGTTTGGTCTCTGTGTATTTTATAACTACGGAAGTTAAGTCTAGTTTGGTCTAGTCTGATCTGGTCTTGTCTGGTCTGATCTGATCTGGTCTGGTCTGGGACTAAAAACAGTCCAAAAGAAAACATCCTAAGGCCACTTTGTCGGCTTCTATGAAATATAGTAAAGAACATATAATAACCCACCAAATATATCTAGCATTATAAGATAAATGTTTCGCCTGAGGTAAATTGCTAAAAAGTTGCCTAAATATATAAAGAGAGTCTAGCTTATTTTAATTCAGGATCTGTTAATAGCTAAACCCCAGAGCATTACACGTTAAAATGAGCCAAAATGTGCCAATATTGAAACCCCATATTCGAAATGATGTGCTTGGACCCCAAAAGTGGCTCCATATGTATGTAAAACTATGGCACATTTCCCGACATTAGGGGGAGATTATAAAGACATAAGCATAATTATATTTTAGAATGTCGGAAAAATATCTCAAAAGGATTGAATGATATGAAGAGTAACGTGTAAAATACGATAAGAAAATTGCCAAAGTAACTGAAAGAAAATGATTATAAAGTTTGAGCTTAGCCAATGCATGAAGCATAGACGGCCATTATGTGTTTGAACATATTGTTTTGTTGATAACAAACGACTAGTGTTACTTTAGGTCTATAAGTGATTGCAGGAAAGGAAGTTTAAGTCGTGCTTTGAAACAAGCCCAAGACATGCGTCTAGAACTGGCCGACGAATATCTAATTTAAGTCGTGCTTTGGAACAAGCCATAGACCTACGCCTAGAATTGAACGATGGATCTAATTAAGATTGAATTTATTGACTTGCTTAAAGATATCTTCTCACTATTCAAGTACGGTTTTGCCTTACTAAATTAAAGAGAATTGTTTAGTAAGGAAATAATCAATAATCATACAAAGAAATTTCTTTATAGGAAAGTTATTTAAATCAAATGCATTAATTAAGAGATCTTTCTACAAAGCAAGTTTCCAAAATAATTGATGTTATTCAAAATTCAAAAAGGATTTTTGTGCATATCCTCTCACAAGGAATGTTTCCTTAAGAAAAATGTTTTCCTTCAATCAAATAAAAAGAAATATCTTTTAATACCTATAAAGAAATATTTTTGAATAATTTCCATGCAAGAGGATTGGAATATATATGGAGATCCGAGCTATTAAAGATGGTACATCAAGTCCTGATCTTGCCCATTTAAGAAGACCGAGCTCAAAGGACAGAATCTGCAGAGTAAGCGGTTTTGTTGATAACTAACCATGCAGGTAGAACGACGAACATGACTGTCCACTGTTCCTTAAGGAACAAAGGATAGAACGATCCTCAGATCTAGATGGACATTATTATTGTGTTGTTGACTAACCCGGAAGGTGGAACACATACAAAACCATTTCTAGTTCCACGGAATGGTTTGAATTAATATTGATTGCACCTACTTGATTTTCAATTAATGTGCTTTCCTTATATGAGTGCTTATACTTTGTCAAGAATATTACTTTAAGCAAAAATAACTTTCTATGCATGGCCATTCTATATGTATGTACGTAATTTGAGTTACCTATTCTCTTTCCATGCATGACTTGACATCCACTTATTAATATAGCTTGATATTTTATGGAAGAGATCTTTGTTTTCTATACTTAGTGCACTTACATTTGCTAAATAAATAATTTGCTATCTTTATAGAAGTTGGCCGTAGCATACTAAATATTC